TAAAATAGGTCAAACCCATGCAAGCTATTTTAGGCTCACATAAAGGTTAAAACGTCAATAATACAACTGTACATGCAGTTCCGTCTCCCTGCAGGGCTTGTAGGTACACCCACACTTACAAACGTTGTGGTTGCACTGCACCATCTTGGCACTCTAAGTAGGGCTGGGCAATTGAAAATGTATCGTTATCGAAATTTCTGACTCTTATCGAGATCATTGTTCCCATGTCAATAAATTTGATGAAAAATGAAAAGATGTGTGAAGGTTGGCAACGTTCATGCCACTTTAAGAAGCTGTACCACCTTGACTCATGTAAAAATGTGTCACAGCGTAATACATGTGACAGCCCCATCTAGTGGACAACTTTTGTTTCTGCGCATACCTGTAGTTCTCGTCCATTTATCGTCATCATGGTGAACTCCTCAATATATTGTGATATTGATTTTAGGCCATATCAAACAGCCCTAATTCTAAGCATTGTTCTTAACCCATCATTATATGCAACAGTGAGTTTCCTTATGCTGCTTTACTTGTAGTAACTCCTTATCACAAACTTAAAGGTGCAAGTTGTAAGAATGACATCCTGTAGTCAAACTTGGTTACCGCTGTCTAGTTTTCTGAGCAAAAAGGTACTATCTCACTGCTGTGGCTGTTGCCAGCTATGGAACAGCACCAGAAGATTCTAGATAAGCAAAGGCAAGCCATAGAGCTCCGGGAGTTGACGTCACTTCTCTCGGCATGCAACAGTTCAAATCGAAACGGCGCCATATTGGCAGGCAGAAGCCCGTAGCTGGACTATTTGTTAATGTCAGAAAACTCAATCAAATGGGAAATAAGGTAGATTCCTGTTGTGCCCCAGGATGCAGAACAGATGCGGACGACATAAGGAATGAGCCATCTACAGGATTCCCCAAGATCCGGAACGCTGCAAATGTTGGATCATTGTAATAAAACACACTAGTGACCGGGCTGAAATGAAGCTGTGGGACCCCGAGAGTAAAGGTTTTTGCTTATGCAGCGACCGCTTCATATCAGGTACTTAAACCAATGTTTCCTCAACTGTGTATGGTATTTATTTTAAACGATTTTATTACGTTTCTTAGTGGGCTTCCTAAACTTATTTTGGCGTGGCTTTTTCTGTCTTATTACTCATAGTAACAAGTAAACATCACGTAAAACGCTGTCTCTGAGTTCTGCATGCTGCCGTTTACGTGTTTTATGATCACAGCAATTAACCGGCTAAGCTGTATTTAATTTTCAAGCAATGGTTGATCAATTGTCAGATCACACATAAAAGCACTTTGGATTGCTATTAAAAGTATCCCAGGGGCACCGTAAGGGTCAGAGATGTTTAGTCTATCTAATTTCTGACTATATAAAATGATTTCTTCGGTTTTAAAGTGTGAATTAAACTCCGACGAAGTAAAATCCAAGCCGATCCCGTTCATGTTCATGTTTATGATCCGTGTTTGTTTACCTTTTTTGCCTGCCAATATGGCGTCTACTAACTGAGAGTCACGTGGGGTCCGGAGCTCTTTACACAGTAAGTTGATAAGTAGATAGCATTGTTTTAGCTGGTGTTGCTCTCTTGGACGTTTTAACTGACTCTTTATTCACTTCACACATACATTTCAGTGTAATATCGAGTTGGTAATTAAAAAAGTAGCTTCAGATATTTTTATAGCCAACATTTTGCTTTAAATTACCATTAGCGTTGTTAGCTTAACGTTAGCTTCTAGCCTTCTTTACCCAACATTAGAATAAAACTAAAAGATGCAGTGGCTTCTTAGAGGTACAAGAAATAACTTCTGGGTCGCTCCTGTTTCCTGGCTTTAGTTCGTTGAAGAATTCTGGAGCTTTTTGCATGCCAGTGTTGAATCACAAATGCCAGAAAAGCAGCATTAGCTCGTCGCATACTTGACAACAACCTCACAGGCAAATTGATTGTAAACAGTAACTATGTCCTTCTTTTGTTTTTGTTTTTTTAAGGAGAAAACTGACATCCCATAGCTGGCGTAGAAGGAAATCTGTTTCAATATAACCTTTCTAACATGAATGAGACATTAGGCCTAATTTAAACTACTTCTTCAGCTTTTCCGTCCACAAAAAAAAAATGCTAGCTGCATATCTTTGCGCTCCTTCAGTCACAGGTGAATAAACATTCATAGTTTCAGACTATTTCCACCAGGCATTCTTCAATCTGTCTGTGACTGCCACTAAATATCTCTTGACTTTTGAAGCGACAAATATGGTGCTGGTGACACATTTACAGGAATTGGTGTGAGTTAAAAATTGGGGCATCTCTCCGTTTATCTCTGCGAGCACGTTGGAGCTCTTGCGTCAATGCATAATGGCGTTGGCATATCTCTGTCCCGACGCAAATGAAGAATAAATTAGGCTTCAGACTGTTTTGTGATTATTTGACTGTAGAATTCTGACATATTGCTCCTTAAAAAAAAAAAAAAATATATATATATATATATATATCTATATATATATATATATATATATATATATATTTTTTTTTAATTTATTTCTTTTTTGCTGCATTGAAACTTTACCAGGCAAGTTGTTATTCTCAGATTCAGAATCTAACCACCTGGAAAGTTGAACCAAACTATCTTTAGTGAAAGGCAAACCTAACATCATACAAATGTCGACAAACCTTTCCATAAAATAAAATATTCCAAAAGCTCCTAAGTCGGGCAGCTGGATCCTCTTAAAAGCTAAAGATCAAAAGACCCTGAACCATAATTATGAGATACTAAAACAGCTCTGTGTAACCAAGCAGCAGCAAATAAATCAATAACATTTACTTCATTTTTGTTAATTTAGAACAGTTTATAAGCTTCATCTCAGAGCCTGGTGAACGTCAAACATGTTAAGGTTAGTTTGAAATTACAGCCCTGAAGGTAAAACATGCATTCTGAAACATCAGAATAGCATCAAAACCTCTCACAAGCGAAGATGCAAATAAAATACCCTGTACATAGCTCCGGATTGGGTAACTTGAGTGAAGAAGAGCCTGTTTGTTTGGATCAGAAACCATGTTGTTGCAGGCATAAATAGATCAGATCACATGATTATCTGTCAGAGGTAGTATGTCTGCAGCCCTGCGGCTCTCTTCTCCTGACTGTGCATCTACAGGCCCACTCGCCACCTCTTTCCTCAGCTGACAAACACAACATGCTTCTCGAACTTCACATTTTTGGTCCCATCCCCCACGTTTCACCAGCCTCTGTTGTCTGCCTCCCTCCCGGCGAGGCCTCTGCAAAATCAATTCACTGTGCAGCAAATGCAGATTTATAAGTCAGGAAAATAAATGTTAGGCATTCTTCTGCATCAATTCAGAAAAAAAAATCTAACATGAATGTAAAATCTGGATATGAGGGCTTAAACAGCGTGTTTGCTCTGTTTCCTTCCCCCACCACCTCCTTTAGAAGCAGAGGGCTTTCTGATGACTCATTTTCTCCATGCATGCCACGCTGAGTCTCTTGTCTCAGCTTGACTGGGACATATCAGACAATTCTCTGCGTGGAATAAACAAACCGCTCACTTGAAATCTGTTTACCCAATTAAAATGAGAATTTAAGACAATACAAACAACCTCTCTGAAATCACAGAGGGGCCTTTTGGGAATCATGTAGCTGTAAACAGCTCTGAGAATGAGAAGGCAGTTTCTAACTTCTTCTTTTGACTGAAATAATAAAACAAAGCATAGAAACACAGATCTCAGCTTAGCAAAAGTGCCTGCAGTCAGTGGAGAGCTGTCTTTACGTCCAGGCAGCTGACCGTTAACCATGTATATATATATATATATATATATATATATATATATATATATATATATGTAAAGGGGTGTGGTGTTTTTTTTTTACTAGGCTAGAATCATGCTGCTGGATTTCTGGTGAAGATGTAATAAGTTACTGCAAATCTGTAATATTTGGTTATGTATGTCCCTGATTTTCAGAAGAAACCAACACAGCTTGTGCTTTATTAGCAAATAACTATAGCCTGTATGCCCATCATTTAAATTTGAAAGAAATTTGGTGCATTTTTAAAATAAGCTGCAATGCCAAACATCAGCTGCACAAAATCAAAACAAAACAAAAAATACTTAGATCATGTGAGGTTTGTGAAAGTTGGATTAACTGTCAGCTTGTTTCACTGGGTTGAAGCCATTTTTGTGTTTGCTGCAGTGGCCATCTTGAATTAGGAAGAGTCTAAACGTTATTTTGTAGTAGGTATTTGGTAAAGGTCACCTTTGAGAGTGTAGTTTAAGTCTGTCCTGTGGTGCATGAGGTATTCTGCAAACATGCAAAAAAGATCACCTGCCATCAAAAGTCATTGGTTTTCAACAGCTACTGGAAACTAGCTGAAGTGGGCCAGAATTATGAAAAAAGTTCTGCAGATAAACGCTCACACATGGGTGCATGGGTCTGCAGAGAAGTAAAACCTGCAAGGGAGGAGGTCAGATTTTTAGGGATTGTATTTTTCTGACAGTACTGACATGGCTACACTTAAAGCAGAAATGTCTGATGCCATTTGTGGAAACAGAAACAACAGCTCATCGTTTGACTCAGAGGATGTCAACTTCCTCAAAACAGCTGGCTGTAACCATGACAACCATAGGATGTGAAGATGTGTAGAGTGATTTATCAGTGTGCACTCTTTAGGTGTTTTTAACATTTATTTTAGACTTAGTTTATTTATTTATTTATTTGGTTAGTTGGTTGCCGCGTCTCACTGATTATCCATATTAGGAAACTTCCGGTAAAGGAAATTTTTTTTTAGTTGTCTTCCAAAAAAATAATAATAATAACATTGGGAAAAACAGTGCGGATCATTTCTTTTCTGGGTTTGGGTTTTATTCCGCCAGGACGTTTTTTTTTTCTTTTTTTTCCAGGTTGACTCGTCAGACTAGACGCGGTGTTAAATCCAGATTTGGTTAATCTCCAGTTCCATTTAAAGAGTAAACCTTCTACAGATGCAGGTTTTACCTGAATGTGGAGGCTGTGGACGGACCGGTGTGGACCTGGACGAGCAGCGGGGAGACGACCGGGCTGCAGCAGGAGAAGAGAGGTCTCGAGTCGCCGGCAGAGCAGAGCGAAGAGCCGCAGTCTGGCTCTGTAACGGGACGGGACACTCCCTAAACACACACCAACCCTCCCTCCGTGGTGCTTTTGTGTGTGTGTGTGTGTGTGTGTGTGTGTGTGTGTGTGTGTGTGTGTGCTTGAATTCATGGGTTTAAGTGGATAAATTTTAACTTTAACCTGGCAGATTTAGCAATTTGGGGACCCAATGCGAACACAGACATGGGCCCCTTACACTAAATTTTCGACAATCTTATCTTTAACTGGATTTGCGAAACTCCACCCTCTTCTGACATGAATTATTTTCACTTTTTATTAGTCCTCCGCTTTTTCCCTGTCTTTCTCTCCCTTTGAGCGCCTTCAATACTTGCTCTGCTTTCTTCTTCCTGTCAGTGCTCCTGTGCTTTTGCCTTTCTTTTTATTTCTATTTTCCATTTTGGTCTATGTTTTTCTCCCTTTAAATATTTTCCATTGTCTTTCCTTTTCTGCTTCCTTTTGATGTTTACATTGAAAAATGATGTCACTTTTGGAAGTGAATAAAAAAGCTTTTTTAAAGCATGCTGCTTCTTTCTCTTACTGGAGCCACTATAGGATAACTCCTTTTCATGCTTAATGTTTTGACTATCGCTTTGAGTTTGTTACGAACGCTCCCGTCTCTCTTCTTCTTATTCTGCTTTCTCTTCATCTTCTTATTTGTGGTCTTACAGCACTTGGCAAACAACAATTTGGTGCATTACTGCCACCAACTGGATTGGAGTGGAATGACTACCAATCACTTCCAGTTTGTGAATCGGCATCCTAAAGCAATAGTTCATTGTGGCATTAACAGAGGGGTGCCAGCAGTCAGGGCTAGGGGCCCCCCAACATAAGGGGGCCCCATGCGGCCGCCGACATATGCCTAATGGTAAAACCGCCACTGGTGTGTGGACATTTTTACATTGTGGGGACATTTTGCTGGTTAACACAATGTGGAGCACCCTAAAATTTGGTCTTAGAGGTATGCAGTGGCGGCTGGCCAGTAGAGGGCGATAGGGCGCCGCCCTCCCAGTTTCCCCTGTGTTTTTAATTTTTATTTTAAAAAATAAATAAATAAAATTAACAATAATCACATATTCTAAGTTAATTGTGTGTTTTGTAACAAAAATAAATCATATATGTATATCTATATTGGTCTCTGCCGGTCTCTGCCGATCTCTGCCGATCTCTGCCGGTCTCTGCCGAGCGGTGGAGGCTGTGTGCTGTTTTTCAATCGCCCAAACAGGATGAGACCAGTTGTCCAATTGCTGACAAGAAAATCAAAGGGTAGGAATGGGAATGTATCCAATCAGCGTCGACGTTGTTTCAGAACGTTTCAGAAGCATGATGGGCGATAGAGCTACCGCCAAGGCTTTCATTGATGTTCGGTAGAACTCGGAGAGTTTCGACTCCAGCACGTTTTGACGGTCGTGACGCAGACGTAGACATGGACGCCAGTGCGCCTACAACATGGATACCAGATCTCAGCAGCCACTGAATTCAGTTCGGTCTCCTCCAGTATCCGTTTGAGAGGAGAACTATGGTGGAAAATCTTAATGTCAAAGAGCTTGGACCAGATCAGCCCGACGTAAAGATAAGCCAGCAGGAGAAGGAGAAGGGTAAACTGTATACACAACGCTTCTCCCAAAATTGGTACACCAGGAAGCAGTGGCTAGCTGGATGCAATCACGCTAATGCGTTATTTTGCTTTCTGTGTTTGTTATTCAAAACGGCTGGGATCCACAGAAGGTGGATGTGGAACTTGTGTCTCATTGGGGACTCCATTCATTCTCTGACTGAGGAATGCAGCGCATCAGTGCAGCAGCCAACAAAGAAACGGAGGACGTTTGGACAGGGAGAACAGCAGCTGGGTGCAGAGGTAAGCTGTACATTACATTTCTGTGAACAAGATAATCAGAATCAGAAATCCTTGGTTGTCCCACAAACCGGGACATTTGTTTAATAACATGTACATTGTTTAATGTGCAATAACTGTAAAAACTAATTTCAACACACATACCTATTATACATATTTAATCATGTAAATGTGTATTTCAAGTAAATTTGTACATACATCAATCTGATTCCATTTTACTTGTTACACTTCTGCTGCAGCAAACAAATTTCCCAGCTTGGGAAGTGGGAAATATGACATTTGTAAGAGGATACTGATGACATTATTTCCTATGAAAGTGTTTCCACTTTCCATAAGTCCTAACAGTGTAAATTTCTGGCATTTTGTCTAAGTGGTGTTTACTACCATTACTGTAACAGTGACCTGCTCATAATTTTTCGTGTTCACTCAAATGTTGAAATTAAACAAAATGTTTTTGTTACTTGCCTCTTGCATTGCCTATTTACCATTTATGGTCGTGTTATTTTATGTGCAATTTAATGCAGTATTTTTCAACCTTGGTCCGCAAGGCAGTTTGCCAATAGTCAGACACACCTGGATTAATCAGTTTGTCCAATGATGTAAGACAGGAAATAAAAGAGCTGTGCTTAATTCAGGAAATAGTGAAGTTGTACACAAAGCTCAGAAAGCACAAGTTTGTTTAAAAAAAAAAAATAGCACAGCCCCACCAAAAATATTTTTCACCAGCCGCCACTGGAGGTATGGTGTCAAATAACTTTTAGTTTAGGTTAGGTTTAGGAAAAGAATCCTATTTGTTAGGGTTGTCAGTGCCTGTAGTGGTGGTAACCCCTGAACCCACTGGTGGACACCTCCCTGGAGAGGTTTTCCGAGCACGTCCAACTGGGAGGAGACCCAAGGGAAGACCCAGGGCACGATGAAGGGACTATGTCTCTTGGCTGGCTATAGAACACCTTGGGATTCCCCTGGAAGAGCTGGCCCAAGTGGCTGGGGAGAGGGAAGTCTGGGCGTCTCGGCTTAGGCTGCTGCCCTCGCGACCCGACTCCGGATAAGCGGTTGAAAATGGATGGATGGAAATTGCTAAACAATAAACGTGCAATATTTATCGAAATAAGAATAAAGTAGCCTATGATTTGCATGGAATCTTGTTTGAAATTGGGTCTTTCACATTATTACAGTTTTTGTTTTTCAGTCGCCTGAGTCATCATTAACATCCACACATAAATGATCAATGCAAACTGCAAAAGACTACCTGTAAAATGGCATTTATTTGTCAAAAGAGCACTTTGTGCCTCAAAAGTAAATATTTATATTTTTAAAAAAGTGTCACTATACTGTCAGAATGATGGGTTTCTGAATGTACCTCATACTGAATACTGTAAAATGAGATGGAGTTGGATGATTTTGTTGACAGGTTTTGACAATTTACTCTGTACATGTCTTCGAATGCACAAAACCAAGCTGATGCTGGCTGAAAATGCTCTTGTCAGCTCTCTTTTCTGTAGTACAGCTATCTTAAAACCACAAAATGACACAATGTCAGTAATTACAAGAGACTGGGTGTGTTCCTGTGCTGATTGTACTGTAGTTTATTTAAAGAGCAAGTCACCCCCAAATCAACTTTTTTTTTGCTTCTAAACCATATAAATGAATGTCTAATCATGCTGTAGAAAAGTGTAGTCAATAATTTGGGACTTTAGTGCATCTTAGTTAAAATTGAAATATTCTTCCTAAAACTGTCAGTGTTGCGCCGTCATCAGGTAAAAACGGCACTACATTTTGACTTAAATCTGCCACCGCTATTAGCTAAGAGATGCACAATGACGTTAGCTGGTACATTATGATGTCACAATGCTGTTGTTAGACTGTCTGTGTGTATTTGTTAGCGGCTCCGCCCTCTCGGTTTGCCAGACAACAACATTTGGTGCATTTTTCAAACATGAATTGGGAGTAGAGTAAGTTTCTTGTAGGGGGTGACTTGCTATGTAAGTTAAGGCAGGGGGTTGCTGTGTCTACCTCTAGGGGGTAGTAAAGTTTAGAATCAAAAAATGTAGGTAAGAGAAGCAGGAATGAGGGAGTTAAGATGGATGCCTGATTCTGCTACATGTGACGCAGGTTCGAATAAAGCTTGGAAAGGAATACTTGCCTTCTTGATACTTTCAGAAACAACTGCTGACCACAACGTGTTGTTACAGTTAAAATGATTTTTCAGCTTTATGCAAATAAAAACATTTAGGTAAAGCATAGAAAGCCCACATTGGACTGTACTGTGCACCACTGTAAATCTGTATGTCTTCCATTTATGCATTCACTTATCCACATCTCACCAAATACCTGCTTTACAATGCAGCATGGGAAATGATTCCTTGAGCATTGAATCCACCATTTGCATGACTCATGATGTCAGCATGTGTTGGGTCCATCATTTTTTTATTTCTTGGTATAAGAAACTCCAGCATCCATTGCTTTAACTACATATGGTATCAAACAAAAATATACCACTGAACTACATTAATGAGACACATTTCTGTCTTTGTGCTTCCTTTAAATGCTTCTTCAACATTTTTTAGCTTCAGCTGTTTGAGATTCTGTTAAAGTTGTTTTACTGTCCTGTATTTTTTGTCCTTTCATATTTTTTGACTGTGATTGTCTTGACCAGTGTTTGAATAATAAATTTTATAGATAAACAGTTAAAAGTTCAGTTCATATATTTTAAAATTAACTAGTTCAGCTCATTGTTCATATTTAAAATTTTAACTAAGTTCATAGTTTAAAAATTGAACTAGTTCTTTCTTTTTCTGTATGTTATGGTGAGCTATTATGCTCAGAATTCTGGCGTTTTCCAATTGTTGCCACTTGTTCAGTCCACGCTCGTACACTGCTGGAGCTCGTACCCCTACTGCAGCATATTCTCAGTAACAGAAGGAAAAGCTTAGTGCTTGAATATTTATATATATATAAAAAATCTTAGTAAGGCTGATTTAGGATGTGTCTCAAAATAGGTGGGTGGTACCTATGGTCATCACTCACAAAATCATCATTTTTTAAATTCCAGTGACTCTGTGGGCTCTAAATCGTGCCATGACCAATTTTCTCTCTGCTTCAAGCTGCTTTGTGGTGGTTAGCAAGCCGCTTCTTGGCACATTACCGCCACCAAATGGAGTGGAGTGGGACCAGGATTCTAAATATTTATTTCAACATAAAAAATAATGAAGGATAAAAATAATACTGAACTGTTCTACCAACTA